AAACGATAAAACAAGAACCTTCCATAGCGAACAATTCGATGCTTCTACGCTTTCGTCTGCGAGCAGCCGACTGCTATATAAAGGCGACACTCAGCTGCAAGTGAAGTTAGTGATAAAGTAAACTCGTTGGCGTTAACATCAGTAAAATCGTAAAGTAAACGTGTTGGGATTACATTTAAGTAGAGTAAATTGTGAAAGTTGATGATAGTGATTGTAAATAATTAAGTGTATTGTAATTGAATTGTGAATTACGGAGTAAATAAAGGATATTAGATTAATTCTTTATAACGAAAGATACTGCAAATTGCATTGGCGAGTTTTTATTTAACAATCCAGAGATCGTACCCGAAGGATTTAGGAAATCATCGAGGTTGATTTAGAAAAATCGTAACAATATACTATAATCGTATTAAACAAGTTAAAGTTATTCTAATGCGTCAATTATTTCATGTAATAAAAATATTCCAATTCAATGTTGCCAGATTTTAATACAGGCCAAAGAACGTACATGAACAACAAGCGGCATGATGGTCTCGTAAAATGGCTTTTACAGCAAGAGCGTACATCGTAGAGTCAATCTCCGAAGTTCGTGTTCTCTTCAGATCATTTGTAGCTTAAAGGGGCAGAGTCGCTGGCTCAAATTCTTCTCGAACGAAGTTCCGCAAATTACTACGAATCCAAAACTGTTTGGCATCTCATACTGCTCTTCTGGGAGCCAGGGCTCGAGTCCTAGTTCGACAAATATCCAAAATTATTGAAAACCAAGCTTTCTAATTGCGGTCGCTCCTCGGCGGGAAATTTTAAGTTCTCTGAGTGTATTACGGGCATGAAATAAAAAGCTTTTCATAAAAATACAAAGGCCGTTAAAAGGCAGCTTAGTATAAACTGTAGGTCCCTACATTTGTTGGAAAAACATCAAGACGCACAGTACAAATTGGAAAAAGGAGCTCGGCCGAAAATCGCTATAGCGGTTAAAAAGTGTCAACTACATATATACAGTCAGCACCAAAAGAAAGTGTACACCTTTTTCTCATACATTTCACTCTTTATTTAAAATTAAAGTTTTTAATTCAATTGATCCAGTAGCTTGGTGTACGGTAAATTAACCATTCCTTTACTATTCTTACCGAATGCTTAGGATTGTTGTCCTGTTGAATGATCTAGGTCTGATCTAATCCCGATTTCTCAACGCCAGGAAGAAATTTAATTTTAACATGTTTAGGTAATAAATGAAAATAAAGCTTTGAACTTGCTTTCATCAGAAAAAATTACATTATTCCAAAACGATTTGTCCTTAGTTTTATATTATTCCGCAAATTCCAATAGTCGCTTTTGGCTCTGCGCAGAGATTTTAGGTTNATAGCAACGAAAAATGAGCCGAGCCGGTTTTACGGAAAAAATCAAAACTTCGTTGGTTTCTGCGACACAAACGTCAGCAACGCTATGGGAAATCGGTGACAACTTTGTGTTTACATGGCGCTCTCATAAGATAGGTTACTATGAACGGCTGGTACGCGCGTTGGGTAGTTGCAGCCTTAGAATGCAATGCCCGACTGATCGTGCTAGCACTAAAATTTAGTCCGGATGTTCTGGACATTTCTTCCGATATTTTGGCGGCACTCACAGTTGGATCTATCTCCGCAGCTCCCACAACTGACCGTAGTTTAGTATTATTAAGCCGTTTTGGTCTACCCGAACGTGGTCGATCTTCTATTTCACCAAACTTCCTATGCTTATCTATAATTTTTTTTTTACTGCATTATGACTTCTTCCAATTATTGAAGCAGTTTCACGTAAAGATTTTCCTTCCTTCTTAAAATTTACCACTAATTTCCCTATATCAGGTGAAGTTCACTTACTCATTGTCAAATTGATATGCTGTCCACTAATTTTCAAATGCAAATAATGTCCTATCGGCACAAGGATACTGAATAACATTAAAATGAGCAGTTGCAATGAAAAAACTATTGATAACGGTAATTATTTCTGCGTAAAATGGAAAATGCAAAGCCTTCCACCATATTTGTACACTTTGTTTTGGCGCGTAAAATACGTAGTATATTTAGTTTTGTTTGTGTTGTTTTTGTTCTTGTAAAGTTTTCTTTGGATTGTTGTTAATTTCTTATAAGAACAATACTTAATCATTTGTTAATGATGATTGATTTAAAAAACTTTAATTTTATCCCACCGAAATAAAGCGTGCCATGTATGAGAAACAAGTGTACACTTTCTTTTGACGCTGACTGTATATACATATATTCTCAAATCGTAACGTTACCTCATGCATAATAAAAGCAGTGAGATTTTGATAAGCAATTTTTTCATTGTATTATTATTTTTCGTTTTATTATGAATTAAATTTATATTTTATTAATTTATCTATGATTTGCACATTAACAATTAAATTTATTTAGTTAAAATATTTTCGAAATAACGTAAAAAATTGTTTCTTTCATTTCATTGTCGAAGTCACTTTGATTGGATTTTAAATTAATTTTATATACTTTTTTTAATTGTTTAATTAATCTTATTTGATTCAGCTAGTTACGTATCTACTACTTACATACATATTGTACATACATACATACATAATAATGTGCTAATTTATATACAAACTATTTATTTGTAAATATGTATATATTTTTTTATAAAATGGCAACAATTTTGCTTATTAAAATGAAATATATTATTCTAACGGTATTTAAACATAATTTTAAGAAGAAAAGGAATTCATCTTTTGGCTATGCGCATGCAGAGGCGCCACGCGTATTTCACAAACTTACAAAAATATCCTGTTTTACCTACATACATACCATGATGAAATAATAAACAGGTGAAGTAAGTAGAATAGAAAGAGACTTTGACACTGCCTACTGCCTTAGCTCAACGCATATTATTGTTTACCGAAACCCAGTGACAGTCTGGACTGCCCTGAATCCGAGATCGATGATGGAAGATCGCGGTGGTACTTGCCTCTTACACTAAGCAGCTACATATTTGGCACACCTGCTGCTATGGATTAGTTAAAAAAAAGAAGATGGAAAATACTTATTTATTTAAAATAATTAATTCTTGAAGCATAAATAAGGCTTGGAGGCATCATAACTGGTGAAAGAGTATTAAAATCTTTGCTCAAACATTGGTTATGCACGAACACAATAAAAACGGGTCTAGATGATCTTAAAGTGATGATAATACCATCTATCTATCATCAGTTTAAAATAATCTTTAAACATCGCCTTACATCTAGCGGTGAAGGCAGATTTAATGAGCCACAAATGACTTTTATATGGAGTAAGAGAAGAATCTTATTCGTATCCCAGTGTAATTTGCTTAACACGATGGTAAGAACTGCCTTTATACATATTCCAATTTATCTCTATAGAATTGAAAGTCTGGATTTCATACAACTGGGTATAATTTAATAATGATTGGGTCATTGAACTCATTAACCTAACATTTAATGAAAGCCGAGAGTTATTTTGCCTTATTAACACAAAGAGTTTATATTATTCCTAAATTTAAATTTAAGGTCCATTGTTTCAATAGTAAAGGGTTTTTACGGTACTTTTAAGAAAACTTTAAAAAAGTAATTTAAATAAAGCTTTTTCAAAAATAGTATTTTTCTTAAGAGAATTGTTAAAAGTATCGGATTTTTACTGCAAATCGACGGCATATGTAAATATGTATGAATGCAGCACTTCCTAATGGGGATCGCATGATTTTGTCATAAACACTTTGTACTATTTCCCTCGGTTATATTATCCACAGATATTTTTTACGTTTGCAAAATATTTTTATGCATTGCATTGAAAAATGTACATAAATCCAATATTTGAAATGACCCCCTTGGCGTATAGACGCGACACTGGCCGACTATGAAGTAAGAATAAATATATTTATTGTAAGTTTATATTATACAAATTTACATTATTATCAAAAACTTCTTATACTTTTGGTCACAGCATAATTTTTCTAATGAAATATTTAATATATTTTAATTTGTAACGATATGTTATTTTAGCAATCATTGAAAACCCTGTAGTGATGTCTACTCTTTTCAATGATGAAAAACTTTTTGCTTACCCTCTTTGCTAAGATTTTTATTTAAATATGGGAAAATAATTCTATAAAAGCAACGATTGTTTACTTACTTCACCTGTGTGTATATTATTTCATCGTGCATACATACGAGTACATATATATGTACATATGTAAATACAATATTTGATTTACATTTTCACTTCTTTCGCCTTTTGTAATACTTGTTTTTGTAATAAATATTTTATTATTACTATTTTTAGAGTAAATAACTTAAAAAATATCACGGATTTAATTAGAATGTGTTTTTTTTGTTTGTTTGTGTTATAATGGCGGAGCGTAGGAGTCGGCATTTACCGCTCACTTTTAGAATGTCGCAATGATTTCTGTTAGCGATGTGGACGTGCCGATTACCAGGCCGAGTATGCCGACAATAATGAGCACACAATTGCTGACTAAGAGCCATACTTTAGCGATGCCTTCCCTGTGATACCAATGAGTGCAGATCTGAATCAATGCCGGGAAAGCCAAGCCGAGTGCCGAAAGGCAGAGCGCGCCGAAAAGTGAAATGAAGAGTTCCAGATTGGGTATGGCCACAGCTAAGAGGACTGGAAAATTAAAATAAAAATGGGTATTATTTTTATGAGGTTAGATACAGCACAAACATTTATTCATTTATTTAAGAGAGGGTGTGATCTAGGGGATATATTTTTGGCCTATTCAAATCCCCTGATTACATACATATTTATTTAAAAAAAAGTGAGAAATGTTATTGTTCAAAGTAGTTTTCATACTTCGCAGATTTTTATTGTAGTTCCATCTCTATTCTACCCAATTGGAAAAGTAGCTCCTGTTTGGGACTTTCTAGTATGTATTTGACTTTCACTGGTCTGCAGAAATGAGCTTCAGAGCCTTACTTATTAGACAATGCCACGAAAGCCCTCAGAATGTGGAACAGTGCCTGCGTGGTGTGTAGAACTCCGTAAGACCCATACTAACATATGAAGCTCTCCGAGTAGTGTGGTGGCGACATCAAAGTTGAAATGCGGCATTAAACCGTTGCAACAGTTGCAACTTAACTGGGTCTTCGGTATAGCAGTCGTGATGAGGATTACCTCAACAAAAGCACTGGAGCTTATCCCTGATAACAGGGCCTACGGAAATTCCCAACTAACAGTTAGATACCTAAAATTTCTACACAACTAACTGGCGATATACAGAAAATTCTAATAGATCTCGATCTAAACGTAGAAGAAACCTTCTGTCGGGTTTATGTCATCTAACCGTTCCTGAGCAGAGATATATTTGAGGTAGGTACAGCAGCAGGGTTCTTATGTGAGCTCTCCAATATAGAAGGTAGCTTCAAACTGAAGGTGCCACATGGTAGGTCCCCAAGCGGTAATTAAAGCGATTAATTACCTTAACACGAGGTCCACGAGGTATTGAAAATGCGTATGAACTGAAATGCACTGGTGCCGCCCGTTTCAGACCTTTCACTGCTTTCTAAACAGTGGACTCTAGATAAATATCAAAGAAGCATTTGAAATATAGATTATACCATTTACTGTGGGGAGACCATTAGTATTGGCAGGGATTTTCTCACTGAGATATCATCTTCACTAGTTTGTGAGCCCCGACAAAACTAATGGGTTCCCCAAAGTAAATGGTATAATCTATATTTCAAATGATTCTTTGATATTTATAACTAGGTAAGGTTCAATCTTCTGATTGCAGAGTGTGGGTCAAGAAGGACAAAGTGTTAGAGCACTTCCCTTGCTTGTGCCCGCTCTTCAAGCGTCCAAGATGTCTAAGCTCCAGCCAAACGAAAATGGTTGAATGAAAGAAAATTGGAATATTTGTCAATTTAGGCGATTTTTCGATAGCACATCGTTAAGCCGGGGAGCACAAGGAAATTTCCCAATAAATTCAGTGGGTCGCCTCAATTGCAACTACAATTAAATCCTCAACTCCCTTTATCAACCAACCAATTAATTATACAACCCTATAGCTGCTACAAAACTAGGATCCACAAATGTCTATTAATCAATTAAAAGTCTTCCGACCCAACGTTCCCCGACCACACTGCAGAACGGTACCCACGTCAGTTTGCGAACGAAGCTTTGATGTCTACGATACCTGCTGAGCCCGCAAAAGTAATTATTTTTTCTCTTTAGTCCTATTTCGAGGTGCACCGGTACACCGTACAGCAGTGGTTCTCCTCAGTAAGGGATGTACCTGATCTGATCGACTCATCTAAATCTCTGGTAAGTAAAATTGGTTGTCCGTGGAAATCAACACGAGTACGTTGTTTCTTTTCCGTTTAAAATTAAACTGTCAGTACCGGAGTATTGAGTTTGCTGAAGAGAAGTTCAGCACTTGCAACCCACCAGCATCAACGACTTTCCGCAGAATTTCAAAGAAAAGCCCTTTTGAGATATTATTATTTCGATATGTAGCCTATTTCTTATGGTCTTCAGCCCCTAAAGGAGGCTTACTTACATGTCACCAGCACCATTGAAGTTCGCACCACGATCTAGGGGATATATTTTTGGCCTATTCAAATCCCCTGATTACATACATATTTATTTAAAAAAAAGTGAGAAATGTTATTGCCCAAAGCAGCCTTCATACTTCGCAGATTTTGATTGTAGTTCTAGCTCTATTCTACGCAATTGGAGAAGTAGCTCCAGTTTGGGACTTTCTAGTATGTATTTGACTTTCACTGGTCTGCAGAAATGAGCTTCAGAGCCTTACTTATTAGACAATGCCACGAAAGCCCTCAGAATGTGGAACAGTGCCTGCGTGGTGTGTAGAACTCCGTAAGACCCATACTAACATATGAAGCTCTCCGAGTAGTGTGGTGGCGACATCAAAGTTGAAATGCGGCATTAAACCGTTGCAACAGTTGCAACTTAACTGGGTCTTCGGTATAGCAGTCGTGATGAGGATTACCTCAACAAAAGCACTGGAGCTTATCCCTGATAACAGGGCCTACGGAAATTCCCAACTAACAGTTAGATACCTAAAATTTCTACACAACTAACTGGCGATATACAGAAAATTCTAATAGATCTCGATCTAAACGTAGAAGAAACCTTCTGTCGGGTTTATGTCATCTAACCGTTCCTGAGCAGAGATATATTTGAGGTAGGTACAGCAGCAGGGTTCTTATGTGAGCTCTCCAATATAGAAGGTAGCTTCAAACTGAAGGTGCCACATGGTAGGTCCCCAAGCGGTAATTAAAGCGATTAATTACCTTAACACGAGGTCCACGAGGTATTGAAAATGCGTATGAACTGAAATGCACTGGTGCCGCCCGTTTCAGACCTTTCACTGCTTTCTAAACAGTGGACTCTAGATAAATATCAAAGAAGCATTTGAAATATAGATTATACCATTTACTGTGGGGAGACCATTAGTATTGGCAGGGATTTTCTCACTGAGATATCATCTTCACTAGTTTGTGAGCCCCGACAAAACTAATGGGTTCCCCAAAGTAAATGGTATAATCTATATTTCAAATGATTCTTTGATATTTATAACTAGGTAAGGTTCAATCTTCTGATTGCAGAGTGTGGGTCAAGAAGGACAAAGTGTTAGAGCACTTCCCTTGCTTGTGCCCGCTCTTCAAGCGTCCAAGATGTCTAAGCTCCAGCCAAACGAAAATGGTTGAATGAAAGAAAATTGGAATATTTGTCAATTTAGGCGATTTTTCGATAGCACATCGTTAAGCCGGGGAGCACAAGGAAATTTCCCAATAAATTCAGTGGGTCGCCTCAATTGCAACTACAATTAAATCCTCAACTCACTTCATCAACCAACCAATCAATTATACAACCCTATAGCTGCTACAAAACTAGGATCCACAAATGTCTATTAATCAATTAAAAGTCTTCCGACCCAACGTTCCCCGACCACACTGCAGAACGGTACCCACGTCAGTTTGCGAACGAAGCTTTGATGTCTACGATACCTGCTGAGCCCGCAAAAGTAATTATTTTTTCTCTTTAGTCCTATTTCGAGGTGCACCGGTACACCGTACAGCAGTGGTTCTCCTCAGTAAGGGATGTACCTGATCTGATCGACTCATCTAAATCTCTGGTAAGTAAAATTGGTTGTCCGTGGAAATCAACACGAGTACGTTGTTTCTTTTCCGTTTAAAATTAAACTGTCAGTACCGGAGTATTGAGTTTGCTGAAGAGAAGTTCAGCACTTGCAACCCACCAGCATCAACGACTTTCCGCAGAATTTCAAAGAAAAGCCCTTTTGAGATATTATTATTTCGATATGTAGCCTATTTCTTATGGTCTTCAGCCCCTAAAGGAGGCTTACTTACATGTCACCAGCACCATTGAAGTTCGCACCACATATTCCCAGAAAAGTTTGCTCCGTTGCGTGCTCAACTTCTCCACAATATAATCATTCCATGTGATATCAATGGCTACGTAGCAGGCCAAACCGTGCGTAATGTATATCGCAAATGCCAGCATACCCTTCACACATTGCGCCAAACTGTTGCAGACAAAAAGAAAATATTCATAAATTAATTATGAATTTTAATGTAAATAATGTGCGACTTACATATCCTTCGACGGCAGATTCAACGTGATGGAACCCTCAACCTCAGCACCATAATTCAAATAACCAAAGAGACCCATACCTGAGTACAGGAAAACAATAAGCACCATAGCAACGTTGAGTACACCACAGCTGCCACCGAAATTTTTCGGAGTTTTCATTTCATTCTCCAACGGCAGTATAATACCGATTGCTTCCAGCGCAAATAGCACTGTGCCAAAGAAGAGAGGAAAGCTCGAAAAGGGCGCCGCCGCAACTTTATCTTCGGTAGTAAAGGGTTCCCGAAAGATATAATAACAGATTATACCGAATGAGACCATTGTAATGGCATTGGCAATTGTGGAGAAGGGTGCCAGGTACTTGAGATTGCGAACCTGTAAGATTTATAGAAAAAAAAATTATATATATATGTAACTTAGTTCTACTTTATTCAAGCTCACGCTAAACTTACCCAATTGATGAAGATCAAGGGTAAAAGTATGATCACCATACATAGACGTACATCGACGGGTTCATCTAAATAGAAGTCAGCAATGGATTTGATGTTTGAAGCTACGAAGACGACATAAACACAACAACAACCCAGCTGATAAATTAGGAGGAAAGTGTTCACCACGTGGCTAATGTAGGGTGCGAATTTGTGAAAGAATGAGGGGCCTTCCAATAAAGCATTCTCCGCAACGATGGGGTAGCTCATACTTGGCACCTATACAAGAAATGAAGAGTTTTAGATAAATTTAAAAGTAGATTTACTCGTAAACAACTAGTTGCTAACCTTTTTCCGCCGACAAAGTTCATATTCGGCTTTGACAAGCTGGTGTATGCAATAGGTGCAAATGAAACCAATAATAATTGTACCGATGGTACCAGTTATATAGCCGGCATTACGGAAAGCATTCGGCATAGCCAAAATACCCGTGCCCAAAGAACCTTTTAGCAAGTGAAAAAGTGTCTCTGAATTGCTGAAAAGAGAAACAAATATTAGGTATTATAGGCAGATAGAAACTATTGGATGAGTGCATAAGTTCATGCCCGATTCCGCTGGATGCTGATCGAATCGTTTGAGAGTGGCACTCGTGAAAGAAATATATTGTATACATATTATATATCGTTGGAAAGGTGACAGTCCGCACTGTAAATCAAGCATAAAATAACTTCATTTTGATTTGAGTTGCTTAGTGAAAAGACGCATGGAAGATGGACAACGAAAAAGATCAAATGCGTCAAGTTGATTTTCATTTGCTTTTAGTAAAATGCATTGATGAAAACTAAATTTTTTATCGCTTTCTCATTTAAATATTTTTGCCTCAATCCAATTGAACTCAGTCCCACTGAGCTCAAGTCAACCAAACTCAACTCAAACGTATTCAACTAAACTGAATTCAGCTCACCTAACCCTTTTCAACTCTTAACTCAACTCATTTTATCTATTTTCAACTTTCAACAAAACGCACCTCAATTTCAACCTCAACAGAATTCATTTCAACTCTCAACTCAATTCAACTTAGCTTATCTGAACTAAACTCAGCTCATTTCAGCTCAACGCACTTCAACCTCAACTTAATCAACTCCTAACCTAACTCAAATCATTTCAACTCAACCCAACTTGAATCAACTTTAACTTAATTCTTTACAAAAAAATACGTAAAAACATTAAAAACACTCACGTCGTAGGATGCTCCACCTCTCGATTATCATAGGGATTATAATCGTAACCATTATCCTTAGCCACCACAGCCGCTGGCTTGCCACCCTTCTCCGCTAACTCCAGTGAGTATCGTTTTGTCGCTTTGTCGCTGACAGCACTGTCGTCAATGAATGTTGGATTGTTGTGCCCATTTTTGCTCATCATAAAATCGCTGGTTCAACGTTCGACGACCGCACAGTTTACTTCCAGATTAATCTACGCTCACGTCTAGCCAGATTTACGCACGTCAGGTCCGTTTAGGTTAGTAGCTAAAAATAGTAAGAAGTAGAAAAATTTAAGAAAAGATGAGTACACGTGTAACTGAAAAAATCTTGAAGAGAAACTGTTATTTTGTGATTAACTAAAGGAACTTTGTTTTAAAAATGTCTGAATGTATTTATGCTCGACTTTTAATTGCTGTCATGAAAGGCAAAAATATAGCAGACACTAAGTTTCATATATCATACATACATTTGTAATGTTATGTACTTAATTATTTATTTACTTATGAGTAGGCAGACGCTCAAATATTCGTATGCGGCCACAGAAGCGTGGCATTCAAGAGAAATAAAAAAGAAAAAAATTTTTTTAAATATTCTTTGAACGATATTTATAGCAAGTACTCTTACATACTGCTATGTAATTGCAATTAAATCTGCAAATTAATAAATTTACTCAGAGAGTGTTGAACTCAAGAAAGCTAATAAGAGAAAAACAAAAACCAAATTGAAGAATTCTTGTGGCCGTTGAAACTAGGAATAATTTGATTAAAAGTCCTACGGGATGTATGAGCAACATTTTTATGTTATTGTACTTTGATGAAGAGAACACACCCAAAAATAACAAAATAAAGAATAAAATAAAAAAATAAAATTAATTAAATTAAAATAAATTAAAATAAAATAAAATAAAATAAAATAAAATAAAATAAAATAAATTTTTGAAAATTGCTTAACTAAGATAAAACTAAATAGAAATATATAATAAAAGGAAATCGAATAAAATATATCAAAATAAAATTAAACAAACTAAATTAAAATCAAATAAGTAAATAAAATAAAATAAAATAAAACAAAAAGTAAAATAAATTAAAATATAAAAAAATGATGTGAAACAAAATAAAACGAAATAAAATAAAAAATAAAAATAAAAGCAAAATAAATTAAATAAATGAAATTAAAATAAAATAAAATAAAATAAAATAAATTAAAATTAAAATAAAAGCAAAATAAAATGAGGTAGATGTAATTAAATAAAACACAATATAATAAACACCACCAGTGACAATCATAAATAAAATTTAATTGAAATTGTTGATTTTAGATTGCACATTACTTGGCATCGTATGTAGGATACGAGATTGCTCAATTCTTCAATACAAATACATATTTATATGCTTGTAGATGTTAGTTTGATATTACGTTATATGTTCACATGCCTGTTTATTTAATATTACACGGAATAATGTGTGTAAAATTTAAATTTAAAATTAAATCTCGCTAGACAAATATTTCTCTTGATGACGTCGATGTTTCGTTGCAGACAGGAAACATTGATCAAAATGTGTGCAGCTCAACGCGAGCAATTACATATGTACGATTATGTATGTATGTGCAGAGTATATAGTGAGTACAAGAAATATTTCAGCATCTACAGATTTGCAGACAAGTCTGTAAATATAAATACACATATATTTAATGCTTAAAATAGTTCATTCAGTCAGCATTTCAAACCATTTTATATATGCACATACTTATTTGCATAAACATATATACATATATTTTTATAAATGTCCACAATAATGTCAAGTTCAATATTTTGCTTCAAATGAGAAAGTAACATATGCACATACATACATTCCTCAACATAATACTTAAATATAATTACGTATGCATGTGTGTATTTGTGCCAAATTGTTGCACTTGTTTTATGTGGCATGCAACAATGTGAGTTGATAGCTTAGCAGTTTGTAAGCAACTCCAAAAATGTGGTTTTAGACGTGACACTCTGCTGTTTTCAGTTCCAATTGAATTTTTCTTTCGATTTTTATTGCTTTATGTCGGAAATTCTTTAGCGTTTACTGCGCTCAAAAGTACCGAAGGCATAGTGGTGCAGTTTACATTCACAAATACAATAAGTCCAGCTCTGGCATTTAATTCACTTGTACGAAATAAACTTGGAGTAGTCCGGAGGGGAAAGTTGAAGTGGAAAAATGTAGTTCAAACACACACATGAGATGGCTCATATCGTCCTCTATACTTGAGGAGATTCCTTTAAAGGGAGTTTAAGTACCTGAATGTGGCACTCGCTCTGGTAGTAGAGCTGATGGCTTCTCATTGCAGGGAATATGAATATGAGCAAGAGGGTTATACTTTTCGCTCTAACACTACTTTAATAGACATTACAAAGATACTTATTCAGTTCATAAGAAACTTATTCCAATTGGTCTCTGAGGCCGACATCTCTGCTTTTTTAGGACCGCCAAATATATTAAAACCAGAAAGAGATATCTTTTATCTCATTGTTACACGTGTAGCAATTAGTGTTGACAGCAATTTTTCTCTGAAATAGCCTGCCCGCAGCAAGTATGTAGCTCCAAGGAAGCCCCAAAGTAGCCTTATCATGACACCGCAATAGTTGAGGTGGAAAATTATAATTAACCAATTTAATATTACTTTTCCAAAGAAAATTATAATCAAATCTTATTGGCGCCTCACAAAAGAGGTAGCCAAACTTGCGCTAAGTATTCCAACCTGGCAACACTGCTAGCAAGAAAAGCACTAGCCTCGCTCACGACAAACTTTATGTTGGTGTTAGAATATTGTAGATCTCTTTAGATGCAGATTGAGCAAAACATATTAACTCACGTTATGCGTACCGGAGGATAGCTATGGCTGCGAGACTGGTGAACGACACCATCATTGTGAAGTCTTTAGTCGTTTTGTTTATAATCGTCGGAAAGGCCTGAGTCGGTGGCTTATCGGCAGAGTTATTTTTACATCGCGGCGAAGAGCCGATAAGGTGCATGCATCAGCTTCTTTGCAGAATATGATGAAACGAAAGCACGCCACAGCAAAAAAAGGAGGCCGTGGGATGGACTGGCACTAATTATCATGAGATAAACCTCCTTAATTTAGCAAATAAGGTTCTATCAAACACAACGAGCCCTAAAGCCCACCGTCAACAAACTGATTGGAGCAATAAGAAGCTTCCTCTATGCTGGTGTGTCTGAATTTGGCATACCGTCAAAGCTCATATGGCTGTGTAAACTGAACAATACCAGAGGAGACGTAAGAGTTTAGAAAGAACATCTACCAGCTGTTCTCTACCAAAAGGGGATACCGTTAGTTATGCTTTCTCAAAGCCTGAGAAAGAAGTGAAACTTATGGGTCTGTCAGTGAACGAGGAAAAGACGAAAATTCTGCTGTCACGGTTGGCACACTTTCGTCTTAGCACCCACGGCACTCACTGTTGACAGACATAACTTTGAGGTCATACAATTGACACCAACAACAATGTATGCCTTGAAATTCAGCGCAGAATCACTCGCTTCTTCGGACAAACTTTGGTCTGAGTTGGTGATTGAGAAGTAAAAGTATGATGGCATTGATATAATTCAGGGAATGATGAGACCGTAGCTACCTGTCGTCCGAATGCATGAAAGCGCTCCAGTACCCCTTGAAAAAAGTAGAAAAAGACAAAGCCCTCTACTCCGTCGTAAGGATCAGGTGGAGAGCGACCTGGTTTCGCTTGATAGGAACGAATATTGCACTATTGTTGATTCGGGTATTATCGCGTAACCGGTGCCAACGCCAATGAAGACAAAGAGGAAAGGCAAATTATTTCCAAAATAAGCTAACAGAGTCGCAGAGATGTTGTGAAGAAGAGAATAACACTCGAAGAAATGGTTTCTAGGCTTTGTCTATATGATCGCAGTGCGTTAAAGATGGCATTGGATGAATAATTGATAAGCAACTTGGACTCACTCCTCTATGCTTGGGTATGCATAAGTATTTTTCGCACTATCGGAGCTTTTGAAAAGAAAATTTTCTGAAAAATTTAAAAAACCATTTCGAAAAAGATAAGAATCAATAAATGTAAAAAAAAATAATTATAATTATTATTTTAGTTTTTATAATGATTATTTTTTACTTAGAACTACAATAGTTCGGACACTTTCATGTACATTTGTACCACTGTGCATACATATTTATGCCAACTTCCAGTCTGTTAGGCACTGAGTATAAAAATTACCGCCAATCTCTTAAATGCAAACTGTTTGTGACTTTGTTGTGTATTTAGACAAGAATCAAAATTGAAAATGTTGGCCACACATACACACATAAAGCTTATGTATTCTTGCTTGCATGACATACACGTATGTATATTGCATATATGCATAAAACATGCGCTTATTCGAACTAAAAATAAATAATTTTTCAAATTTTTCCACAAATTTGTTGTTTTTATTTGCCTTTAGTGCTATTAAGTACCCCTTATTATACTCGGTTTGGTAAGAAAAAAAAACATCGGCTGAGTTAAGTTATCGATCAAACTGTTCTTGAATAGAAGATATGTATGTATGCGCTGTATGGAGTGCAACTATGAAAAGTTGTTGCCAATGCATACTTGCAGGCATGGCATGTAGATTTGAGACTAAAAAAGTAAAGAAAAAGAATATTAATAAAAAAAAGAGGTTGGAGAATTTTTTGAAATTAGGTCAAGGTCTAATATACACCCACCAAGATACGTGTATATGTAGATATGTATTTCCCATTAGGCCAGCAATTCTACAACTTTTTTTAAAGGAGAGCTAAGTTTAATATATTGAGTCCACTTTACATATATTAGGTGTACAATTTTGTTTCTGCCGTTTTCCGATAGGTGGCTGTACCTGCTGAGGCTAGTTGATGATAATGCCTTTAAAGTGAGTGTAACGAATTGTCATCGCCGTTTCAGTGACAGTTGTTCTTGTTTTCGTATTAAACCATCACAGGAGATCTCTACCGAACGCAACTGATACGCCTTAGTCGCGCGCTAAAAGAAAAGCGGCCACAATATCAAGAGCGACATGACAAAGTCATCCTCCAACACGACAATGCTCGGCCTCACGTCGCAAAAGTGGTCAAAAAGTACCTGGAAGCGCTGAAATGGGAAGTCTTGCCCCACCCGCCGTTTTCCCTAGATGTCACCCCTTCTGACTTCCACCTATTCCGTTCGATGGCACACGGCCTGGCAGATCAACATTTTCAATCCTTCGAAGAAATGG